CATAGATTGATTGACACTATCTTTTACTAGTTTCAGGATATCATCAAATTTTGGCTCGATACCCTCATCCTCCATACGGGAGCTTATCTTCACCCACTTCCTTTGCAGTCGAGTAGGTAGGCGTCTTGCTATTACTTCTAGTATAAAACTCGAGTTGAGGTCACTCATGCAATTCATAGAAATCAAGGTATTCTTATAAGTCATAAGATTATCCAAAAACTCAGTAAGTGCCTTGGAGTCATCTTGAAGTTGACTGCCATTACCTTTGACAGCTTCGTATACGTTCCTTACAATCATCGAAGGTCTTCCAAACCTTTGACGTAATATGCTCATAGCCTCAGCGTATCCCTCATTGGGCATGAGCTTACAGCACTGTATAGCTCTTGAAGCATCTCCAGTGCAATACCTGCTTTGACGCATTCAATCACTCGAATTTCTGGGCCACTGTATTGACTGCAAGAGCCTTCGCCTACTGGCTAGTAATGTTGAGGTAACACTGAACTTTCCAGAGCCACGGCCAGTGAAATGTCTTCTCACGCTCAACAGCTTGGTAAGTTATTACCGACGGGCTATTCCCAAGTGTGCTTCCCTGATTCCGCCACTAACAGACTTCTTCGAGGGAATAACAAATCCATCGAACTCAACGCGTCTGCTGAAAATGTTTTCACTTAGGTTAAAAAAGTTATTGCGGATGCCACACTTCTTTCGTATCAAGATCCAACGGCACTTTTAAGTATCTCGGTTGATGCATCATGCACTGCATTCGGCGCAGCTCTGCAACAACTAGTGAACAGAGAGTGGCAACCACCCGCTTCTTTCTCCAGCCACCTACAATCAGCAGAAAAGTACGGCACATTCGGAACAGAACTTCTTGCTATGTACTGTGTTATACGTAATTTCCGACATTCAGTGGAAGGTCGTGAATTCAAAATTTTCACCGATCACAAACGTCTGACGTACCCTCTGAACTCAACTTCAGATAAGTATTCACCTGGAGAACCACGACAACTGGGCTACGTTTCACAGTTTACGCCGGATATTCGTCAAGCATCCAGAGTGGACAACACTGTGGAAGATGCCTTGTCCCTCATTTGTTCCCTCGCCCGAAAAGAAGACATGAACCTCGTGAAACTGGCTCGTCTCCAAAAAGAAGATCCCGGAATTCAACATGAGTTGTAATAATAATAATAATGTATATTCTCATATAAACATATAAATTTACATGAAAATACATGCCATATTTACAGGCACGATCAAGTATGATATAATATCAAATCGTAGATTGTCTACAAGTTAATAATGTTTCAACAGTTAAATATTTGATATATATATAAATACACTCATTGTCTGAACTAGGCTGTATAGTTATTGAATTGTACAATTGTCCTCCAGGTTGAGCGGGAAAATCGACTTCGTTTCGTTTTCATCCCGTGGTTGTCGGCATACGATAACCAACCAATATTGAGGTAAGTACAACGTTTACAAGGGATTGGAAGCTGTTTTTAGAAAAGTTAAAGTGCTAAGGTGAATCAATAAAGTGTAATGAAATGGGTAAGTGAAAGTATCACTAATAAATGCATTAATAAAGGAAACTCCCTAGGCTGACAACGTTCATTTGCAATGTATAATGCTTCCTGTACAGTTTGCACTATCATGATGTCCAGTTTTGGTTTTAATACATTTTTTCCTTATGCCGGTTTTTTTATTCCTTTTTGTGCATTTGGTGCGCAACCGTACCCTCCAGAGAATAGGAATAGAATAAGTCGAATCAAATTCATAAAAAGCTATAAAATGTTAGGTTTAATGGAATATAATGAGGGTGAAGTAAAGACGTTATTGGAAAATAAATGAGATGAGACATTGTGAAGTGGTATTTAAAGATCCGACAATGGACAGCAAGTTAGTTTATAAGATGCCCCATAAATCTGTGCAGAGCCCACATGGTCGCATCTCAACAATAGGCTGAGTGAATGGTATATATTTACAGGTAGAAGCATGATCTGTTTAGGCGTTCATTATTATCTTTTTCAAGATAAAGATCTAAGCCCTCATAAAAATCGGAAATATCTCGAGCCTTCAAATTGTATATTGCTGTTCCTGCTGAATGGGGCGATTCACCTTAGTGACCCCCACTATATCTACTGATCAGCTAACGCCACCCTCCCTTGTCAAACACAACTCCGCAAGTAGCCGAAACACCCTTAGATATGGTGAGAGATACTATTCCGTGACATTTTAACGAGTACTGCTTGCCCCATCGTGCCTTAAAGCAATCGCTGTAACGTCTTCAACATGTTGCACTGCTTAACCCACCAAGGTATTCAGACTACCGTCAAGCAGACTGTTCCGACTGACTCTAATGTCAGAAAGAACAACCAAACTGTAAATTCACCATACATCAAATTATGTGTAATTTATATAACAACTTATCCATCCTGTACAGTTGGTATGTTTCTGCAAAAACAGGATTCAACATGTTATTAATAAGTTGGATTTGCTCGCCTGGTACTAATAAAGAGAAGTAATGTGGTGATTGGCTTTATGTGGTTTGTGGTATGCGTTGTGTCAGTATCACGTCGCTGCTGTTGATCGAGTTGATATTTTCACTCGTAAGTTGTCCGATGTCATCTGAAAGAGGGAAATCTTAGTTATGATTAGTGCAGATTATGTAGAGTTAACAGGCAAAACAGACCGAAAATTCAATATCCAGTACCGATTATACGGGCTAGTATGAACCAATTTGACTTCTTTGTGCTCGCTTCTTGATTATGAGGTAAAGGCTGTTGGTCCTCGGCAAACTTCTGAGTAGTTCGTCCACCATTCGACTGTCGAAGCTTTGGTTGACTCCAAAAGCAGTGGTGCTGGGATTAATTATATGTTCTTTGCGGTATGCAGTGCGTTAAGACTTTGTTGTTACTGTGAATTCAGTTGATCCTTTCACCAGTTAGTCCTCCGGTATCGTCGTCAAAAGAAAGGAGATAATAATAACAACAGATATAGTTAATGTAGGTTATTCAGACCAAAAGACAGAAAAAAATAAAGACCACGTAAAAACAGGCAGCTAATTAAATTTGAAGTTGACATATATATATATAAATATATATGTATGTGAAACCAATAACAATAATAATATCTATAATGAGTGTAAGTATAGTAGTTGGAGTAGTCAGGAGAGTAAAACGGAAATGAATGTGGAGTGAAACTACGGTTTAGGATGCCTGCTCATTAATGTGCGTCGGTGGCGCAGCGGCTGGGACGCTCGCCGATCATGCACATGGTAAGGGTTCAATCCCGGCCGACGCACACATGATATCAGTGGTCGGCTGCAAAATTTGGGCTACCAATATCACATTCTGAAAATTTCATACTTGTACCAAAAACACTGTGTGGAGTCAAGCTATAATAAAATTTTAAAATTAATTGTGTATGAAATTTTAGGAGGATAGGCCATTTGGATGCGGTCCTTGTGTAGCTGCGTGATTATCCAGCCGTCTCTTGAAGCTGCCCCCAGATGGTGCCGTAGCTACATCTGCCGGTAGGAAGTTCCAGGAAAGGCAGACCCGCAGTGAAAAGAAGCGAGAATGCACCCGGGTCCTTGCCCTTTGGTGAGTTATCCTTCTGGAATTTCCACGAGGAAGCCCCTGACTACTCAATGGCAGAACACTTTTGTTTGAGTGATTCTGGTCATTTATCTTGTAGTCAGTAATGGAATCTCCCTAAGTCGACTACATCTAAGTTGGAATAGGCCTAATTTCTTTACCCTTTCATCATACAGTTTATTTCGGGGACCCGTCACTCCTTTTGTCTTTCGTCTTTGGACAATTTCCAAGGGGTTGGAGTCTCTTCTAGGCAGTGGGGGTGCAACGACATCATGCTCTTCAGAGGGTCGTCTGACGTTTGGTTTATAAACCTTAGAAACACCTCAGGAGTGACTGTACCTAAATGTTTATAAGTTAAGTGTATGACCGCATATGCCCTCGCTACACCCTCCGTGTAATTTACGCTTGTGTCCACTTTTCCTTTACAACTAGACCTACATCACTCTCTGACGTCATGCAGGACAAGTTTTCGTTCCACAGGGTGCAACTTGCATTCCTCAACCTGCATGTGCGTAATTTCACTACTTTGCACATTTTCAAGTTGAAAGTCATACCACTAGTCACCGCCCAGTCTTCCAGAAGTTTAGATATGTCTCCAGCTTATCTGAGTCTTCCAAACACCTTATTGCCCTCCAAACCTATACGTCGTCAGCATATACAAGAACCGGGCAGCTTAGACGACAAGACATATAGCTGATAAAAATCGAAAACATCAGTGGTCCTAGGACAGAACCATGCGACAATCTTGAGGACGAGCCGTGACAAGATGATCGGGCTCGATTGACCTTACTGCAAAATTCGCTTTCAGCTAGAGAGTCCTTTAACCATGATAGAAATGGCTTGCCTGCACCCGCTTGACGATTTTTGTGTAGGAGAAGGTCATGGTGAACTGTGAGAAATGCCTTCTCAAAGTCTCGGAAAATCACATGGATCGGAACATTTATATCACAGCATGATGTCCAATCGTATCGAGCTGATAGTAGGTTTGTTACACAGGATCTGCCTTTCCTGAAACCGTGTTGGGCCTCATGGAGTCTGTTGGCTGTATCCAGGTGCTCACTGATGTGATCATCAATAACACTTTCCACTACTTTCGATACTACTGGTGTGGTGAGAGCAGGCTGCTAGCCGATTGGTTGGCACTAATCTACGTTAAGGTCTAGGTCACTAATATGGGCCGTGAACAAGGCTGAGTCAACAACCAATCACAGCGAAGTTAACGTGGCAAAATATGATTCGCAGATAGAGAACTCTGTTTGTCAAGGAATCCCGAAACAACCAATCAGAAGCCTGCGTTTGTCTACCTAAACAACCAATCAGATGACTGCGCTTGTCTATAATAATGTTGTCTGGAATATGTATAAATACGTGTTGATTTTCATAATAAAACGATCTGTTGCCTGGCCCTTGTCTTCTGTTGTTACATTTGGTGTCGCTGCCTACCGACAAATGAAAAGCCTATACCCTGCAGTTTTTGATGGAGACATATGGATCTTCGGGCAGGACTTCAAGGCTTCTGCGCAGTTGAGTGGCGTTCAAAATCTGTCAGCGATGGAGCTGCTACTTGGGACGCTGCTGGGAGGTCGGGCGAAAGCAGCATATGAAGGTGTGGGCCGAAGTATGGACGAATGTTCGACAGGGTCAGGCAAACAGTTTCCAAAGTGGGAAGGACCATATATGGTCACTTCGAGATGGGGTTACGCAGACACAGTCGCAATGGCGAACAATGAGAGGCGCGTGAACGTCAGCGAGCTCCAGAAATGGATACAGCGAGACAAGCCAACGATGACGCCTGCACCAAGTAGATCAAGCCGACTTCAGTCGCACGTATTTGACGGGGGGACGAGTGTGGTGAGAGCAGGCTGCTAGCCGATTGGTTGGCACTAATCTACGTTAAGGTCTAGGTCACTAATATGGGCCGTGAACAAGGCTGAGTCAACAACCAATCACAGCGAAGTTAACGTGGCAAAATATGATTCGCAGATAGAGAACTCTGTTTGTCAAGGAATCCCGAAACAACCAATCAGAAGCCTGCGTTTGTCTACCTAAACAACCAATCAGATGACTGCGCTTGTCTATAATAATGTTGTCTGGAATATGTATAAATACGTGTTGATTTTCATAATAAAACGATCTGTTGCCTGGCCCTTGTCTTCTGTTGTTACACTGGGAGTAGGGCTACTGGTCTACAACAAGTGGCATTTTTCCTATCCCAACCGTTGAAGATCGGAGAAAAAGTAACTCGTTTCCACTACCTTGGCAGTTTCCCGAATCCACCGGGTGTTGAAACAAGTCACAGAAAGGTCTACAGGGAGCTGTGGGCGCAATGTTTCAGAAGAGATGGCCTGATGTTATGGTGGCCTGAAATGACCGCTCGTTACTCCTGACTCTTGTGTCGCATCAGTTCCTGAGTTCCAGGTATGCACTGTGGTCAGTCTGACTCTTTGGGAGTCGTCACGTAGAACAAGCTTCCGTTTTGTTTGCAGAATACGTTGCGTACCGCCCTACCGCCTGAGAAGCATTTTAGGCTGTGTTGTGACCGAGGGGACGTATCCGAGATTACTGTGTCTGTAGTCCCTTTCACCACTTCTCAGTGTTTATTCACAGATAACTATCCCATCCTAAAGGCCATTCTGCATCGGAGAAATGCCTCCACATTCCAGAGTAGTCCGCCTCGTTATAGCACAGACCTGGTCACGTAGCGTCCCACAGTAGGTGGTCACGGAGAACAAGGTCGAATCCTGTGACTGCATGGTCACTACTTCCCAGTTAGATCGTGATCTGGACCGTCTGAGTATGGGTCAACTGTTGTCAGTCTCGTCTCATAAACCGTTAATGCCCAGCTCTCGCTACGCTCGGGCCCACGCTGTTCCTTTGAGTTTTCAGAAACGCTTAGTAATAACGGACGCAAAATCCAAAACACCGATCTGCCGTTTGATATTTCTGTTTATTGTTACACCAACATATAAAAGGAATAAACGAACTAAGCAACTAAGGTCTGAAAACTAATATTACAATAATAAATCATTGTTACTTCTGACGATATTTTACTCTTCTTTCTGAACAGCGACCGATGAGACGATGACTGTCGTATTGATGCCTCCGCGAAAATCGGGGAAGTTGATTTTGAGCAAACAACCAAGAATTGATCGTTCAATCTTCAACTCCATTGACACTCCCCGGCAAAAAGGGATCTGATATGTATCCACATATATATATTTATGTGTGTGTGCATGTTGGTCTCTCTTTCTGTTTGCTCGGTTAGTCTGTGACCACTTCACTTGTATGGACTTGTCTCCTTTAATAATGTGTATTCTCCTTATATTATATTATATATAATATGAGTGTTTGTTGACAGTCCGTTGCTTGGTGACATATATCCATATATGTTTGTTGGCATGTCTGTTATATTCGCTATGTATATTTGGATCGACACTCCATTATAATTAGCCATTCATGTTAAGACTGTCTAATGATTTTTCCCACGCTTGTCTGAATTATTTATATATATTCGCATTCTCGATTTGTGTGAACTACTTTACTTTACAACTACTTGACTTGCTTACCACTTTGGTGTGAGACCATTTATTTTCGTCTCCTTGTGTTTGGACAATAGAAGTATCATCGCAAACCTAGTGGTCTTCTGATTTCCGCCTTCTCGCGTCAGGACTATTAGTTTCTCGACCAGTCCATAACAATAATTCAGCGACGAGTACATAACAATTTGGCGACGGGGAAACTAGAACATAACAATTTGGCGACGGGGAAAACTAGTACATAACAATTTGGCGACGGGGAAAACTACTATTAACCACACAGCAGCAACAACATAACAATCTACTATGGATCCTATTAAATTGGAATTATTGTTTGAACGACAAATGAAATTAATGGAAATGTTCGTCAACCAACAGACTGGTCCAGCTCCACCTTCAAGCAATCCCAATCATACCATGCTACCATCTGTCGACGGAATTGTGAACAGCATTTCACGGTTCAATTATGACCCAGAGGCTAATGTCACTTTTGACACATGGTATCAACGTTATGAGGATTTATTCACTGTTGATCTCGCCTCACAAGACGATGCCTGGAAGGTGCGAGTTTTGCTACGTAAATTGGGTCCGGCAGAATATGAACGATACTGCAACCTAATTTTACCACAGAAACCACGTGACGATTGTTTCGATGATACAATAAAGTTGCTGCGTGAACATTTCGGAGACCACTCCTCATTATTCAGTATACGTTATCGTTTCCTCAAGCTGGCAATGAATGAAAATGATGATTTTCTTACTCACGTTGGCACAGTCAACCGAGAATGTGAGAGATTTCGACTCAGGTCCTTAACAGATGATCAGTTCAAAGCCTTGATTCTCATATGTAGTCTCCAATCTCCTCGTTTCACAGATATCCGAACTCGACTGCTCAATCAGCTAGAACAAAATCCCAAGTTAACATTACATGACATAGCTGATGAATATCAACGGTTGATTAATCTGCAGAAAGACACACACCTGGTCGAATCAACACCTCCGAGAAGCTCTGATATTCGTGCATTACGAAAGAGTAAAAATCTCTCTCATCATCTACTCCTGACCCACCTACTTCTCCTAATGTTCCGCGGAAATCTACACATACTCGTCCAACTTCTCTACGCAATACAGTGAAGAAGCATAAAATGCCAGACAATTCCGGACGAGGCCGAAGCCGCAAACCCAACACGCAGACGAAACGACAGACGTCAACAACAAGCCCAAAGGTCCCAGATAAACCCCAGGTAAACATCCTACTAAACTTCCATCTTCTCAAAAGGGGAGGTGATATGTATCCACATATATGTATTTATGTGTGTGTGTGCATGTTGGTCTCTCTTTCTGTTGCTCGGTTAGTCTGTGACCACTTCACTTGTATGGACTTGTCTCCTTTAATAATGTGTATTCTCCTTATATTATATTATATATAATATGAGTGTTTGTTGACAGTCCGTTGCTTGGTGACATATATCCATATATGTTGATTGTTGGCATGTCTGTTATATTTCGCTATGTATATTTGGATCGACACTCCATTATAATTAGCCATTCATGTTAAGACTGTCTAATGATTTTTCCCACGCTTGTCTGAATTATTTTATATATATTCGCATTTCGATTTGTGTGAACTACTTTACTTTACAACTACTTGACTTGCTTACCACTTTGGTGTGAGACCCTTTTTTTCGTTTCCTTGTGTTTGGACAATAGAAGTATCATCGCAAACCTAGTGGTCTTCTGATTACCGCCTTCTCGCGTCAGGACTATTAGTTTCTCGACCAGTCCATAACAATAATTCAGCGACGAGTACATAACAGGATCCATCCCGTTTTTCCTTCACAATCAATGCACGTTGACTTGGATGCCATTGCGAGAACCTGGGTCACACGGACAGAGCTGAAATGGAAAACAAACAGAAAAGCCAACACACCACAAGCATACCCACAGCACAATCTCACACATCAATGACGACCTGCGCCTCCAGATAGAGACCTCCTCTTGACATCTTGCAACACAGTCTCCACTTGCTAGAATGACTCTTGCAGAATGCAATGTGACCATGGCAGGACCTCACGATACTCTACGCACATCCTCTTATCTACTCATTACCAATTACCATTGAAATCGCTTGTCACTCATTCTGCCTCAGTTCTAGTAGCGGTGACGCATGCGAGCCTCAGTCGTTTACACTCTTTCTCCCCGGCGTGTCGGACCGCAGCTAACAATTATCTCCGTGTGCATTTCATTCTCAGCGATAGCCTCCCCGGCGTATACGACCCATCTGCTGTCCTTAACATCAATCAATTCATTCATGGATGTAGAAGACTCGAAACAACTTCAGAAATAATCACGACGAAAATTTTAACAAAATTATGCAATAAAAACAAGGCACGAAAACAACGAGTAAACACAACTGATCAAAAATCGCAAATTGAGAAGACACACCACACGTATACACAAACAGTACAAATAACCTCGCGGATCATGTCTTGGTGGAATTATTTTGAAGAATTGGAGGACTTACAGCAGTACGCCTACATTCCTTCTCAGGTTGATGATCCAAGTGGAAGTCGTCCGGACACAAACAGAATTACCAACAGCTAGATGACAGATGATATCAATTCAGTATATACAATATGAACATATGTACAAAATCACACACCAAGCACATTGGACTGCTCATTGATGCGCTACCCTTTGAAGAATTGTAGGACTTACACCAGTACGCCTACAACCCTTCTCAGGTTGACGCTCTAGGTTGGAAAATCGTCGCAGAGTTCATTTGCTGACTTCCTTCTATGAGCTAAATCCTCAAATCTGAACGGCAACACGCCCATGTCATTGTATCGTAGAATATAGATGACGAACAAACACACGGCATATCTCATCAACCAAGTGTAGAAACAGAGTAATTTACACCAAAGATAATAACATTCAAATAGTAACTTGAAACTAGAAATGCCTTTATTCATGCAAGTCAATTTAACAATAACTCTCTCCTTTACACTTGGCTTATCCACACTAAACTGACCATTGATATTCGTCCTTTCAAACGAACTGATATTACCATAGTCATTGCACAAGATACTTGAGTTGATGGGCATCTGTTTCATTGTGGATGAAAACACCAACGATGACTGAGTGACACAAGGTGATGAACTTAGCGGTGGATCAGAAGCTGTTCTTGTTCGGCTTTCAGATAGTTGTCCAACTGCAAGATTACCACCACTGCTGTCTTTCACTACTAGTTCGGGTTTAGCACTATCATCTGATGATAGGTGGGCTACACGCTGATCAATTACACTGACTGTCTCACAAGTATGCACACCTTCTGGAACTGCATCTGCGTTCAATTCTACTTCACGTTGTAGTTGTACAGAACCTTTATTTAACTTAGCAGTAGTAGGCATATCCCTCATCTCATAATGATCAACCAAAGACAAATCTGCACTATCATGATCATTACCACAAATATTCAGTTTACCGTCAACTTCATCATTTTCAAACTCTTTAATAACAGAAGTAGACAATTTTGGTTCCTCCTCGAAAATCATTAAAGGTTTTATATCTTCACTCTGACTAGTTATACCTTGTAAACTTTTGGAGTCAGAACTCCACTCTGAAGCAGTAACTCTATTCTGTGACACTCTATTCAACAACGGCTTACCAGTTGCAACTACAGACTTCTTCACAACACCGTTATCGTCACACAATTCGGAGTCAGACCTGGAGTTTACATTTAGCTTATCACTGAACTTGCTCACTGGTTCACAGTTCACTTCTGTATGCACCTCTTGCAAACGTGTAAAACACAACCGTGTTTGTCTTGCATCTTGTAACTTATCTGTTGAGGATGTACTACGAAACCTGTTACACTCACTAGGTCTATATGCATTACTAGACATCATGGAGCCTTCTCGATATCCACCTCTCTGAGGCCTACTCGTCATCAATGATTGCATTTTGATCTCAGACTGCTCTATTCTAGGGGTGAGATCTAATAGACTGGCGAACTTGCTCATAGATTGATTGACACTAGTATTTACCAGTTTCAGGATATCATCAAACTTTGGCTCGATACCCTCATCCTCCATACGGGAGCTCATCTTCACCCACTTCCTTTGCAGTCGAGTAGGTAGACGTCTTGCTATTACTTCTAGTATAAAACTCGAGTTGAGGTCACTCATTCGATTCATCGAAATCATTCCATTCTTGTAAATTAGCAAATTATCCAAAAACTCAGTGAGTGCCTGGGAGTCATCCTGTAATTGACCACCATTACCCTTAACAGCCTCGAATAATTTCCCTGCAATCATCGAAGGTCTTCCAAACCTTTGACGTAATATGCTCATAGCCTCGTAGTAGCCCTCTTTTGGCTTCATAAACTTACAACACTGTATAGCTCTTGCAGCATCTCCAGTGCAATATCTCATCAAATACATTAACTTCAATTCATCATTTAATAAAAAACCACTCAACATGATCTCAAACTCCTTTACAAATTGTAAATAATCAGCCGGGTTTCCATCAAAACATCGTGGTTCAAATTTAGGGAGTTTGATGTTCCTATTATCCCTGAACGGCGAAACAGTAACATCAACCATGTCATACTTAACATCAGACACATCGTTACAATTAACAGACAAGTCACCATGACTTACTTTCCTGTTTGCATCCAAGACACTCTGTCCCTTCTTTGACCCAGGCATTGTTGAACTTGACCCAATTCCAAAAACGTTCCAGATATTGCTTGTTCAAAGAGGACTTGACCGGCACCAGGAGAAATGAACGGCGACTATCCAAACTTTCACCAACTGTTTGAATCCGCCAGATCTGTTTTTATCGTCAGAAACTGTCAGCCAAGTCTCATAAACCGTTAATGCCCAGCTCTCGCTACGCTCGGGCCCACGCTGTTCCTTTGAGTTTTCAGAAACGCTTAGTTATAACGGACGCAAAAACCAAAACACCGATCTGCCGTTTGATATTTCTGTTTATTGTTACACCAACATATAAAAGGAATAAACGAACTAAGCAACTAAGGTCTGAAAACAAATATTACAATAATAAATCATTGTTACTTCTGACGATATTTTACTCTTCTTTCTGAACAGCGACCGATGAGACGATGACTGTCGTATTGATGCCTCCGCGAAAATCGGGGAAGTTGATTTTGAGCAAACAACCAAGAATTGATCGTTCAATCTTCAACTCCAGTGACAACTGTTCTTCCATCCGTTGTCGTGTCATCTCTTTTTGCTGAAAATTATGCATGATGAAAGACTATTGAAACCATCAGCGGCGAAGTTCAGGTATGGTCCTTGAACCTGTCGAAAGGTGTATCTGTATGGATGACTTTATGTGAACGGTTTAGATAGACAAATGGAGGTGGAGACGACTAAGGGAGTATTGGTAAGGGATATCTGGAAGGTTAGTCTCTTGGAAGCCAGAGACAATAGTACTCATCAGGGCACCATGTAAGCGAACTGGTTTAAGTCCTAGACACCCGAAATAGATGGCCAGGTTAGGGGGTTGCCAGGCATACCGGTGTAATTCCTGGTAACCAAGGGCTGTGTGCACCAGATATGCGTGCGTTTGCGTGTGTGATGGGAAGGGACTCCTTGCGTGGGCACATGGAGTGCACGTGATTTTTCAGTCAATCTCTTCTTCTATTTGGAGTTTAGCGTGTGAGCATGTTGTCATTCACTTGCAAGAATGGATATTATTGTAGGTATTATTCATTTGATTGATTGCGGAGGAAACTGACAGGAGCGTTACATCCAATAGTGTATCCTTGAACATTAAAGTTGTACTTTATATCATTATTATACCGTTTTGCAGTTTGCGTTAGTTAGACTGTTTATAACTCACTGGATTGTAGTACATTTCTCCTTTGAATGCTCATTTTGTCAACTGTGAGCCATTTTCGAGTTCGGATTTTGTATCACTGGCGTTAGGATGCCGAATAATCTCATATTTGAGGGCTTGTAACATGTTTATGTGATAAATTCTGTTCAACAGAACAATAACCTCGCGGTCTTTCAGCGGTCTGCAATCAATATCAACTGTATTTGGGGTTTAGATTGTTTTGGATTTGATTGGGGACTTAGATTCCATCTCCTCAAAGGTTATTTGTTCGATGACTGCGACAATGAGAGCATGAAGGTGGTTTTCGCAAAGATGATTCCTGAAAACACCACATCTTTATATGTTCTTGGGTTACTATTTTAGGGCGGTAAATATCACCCCGTACGAGCAGTATTCATGGCCTGAAATTAAAATACAACCGGTTTCCAAAAGGTTTTTAAAATCTTAATCAGTTTATGCCTACAGACTACCATGTGCCTGCAGTTGGCGATGAAGGCCGACTTGGGAGGATTATCATCTATCTGATGCAGTAAATCAAATACCCATGGCCATGACCTATGTTCGTTTTCATGAAACATAACTCAATTCTAGTGCTACTGTATGGTTGCACGGCTGAGAAAATGATAGAAATATGCTGCTTGATTTAAATTAGCAGGCCATCTGACTATAAATCGAGGATAAGATTCGATGCTGTCAGAAAGAACAGCAGACATGGAATTTCCCGATAAGTCCAGTTTATATCACTGAATCCATAACTTATCCGTGCCTGTAAAATTACTATGTTCCTATATAGGCAGGAACAAATATGTCAATATTATCAATACACCCACAGAGATTCAGACTGTTCCTCAGATAGACGTGCACAATGAGTTCGTCTTTGTGAAGCCTTCCAACAATTCCCTTAATTCGGTAGTTGACAGAAGGGTGGCCACGTCAGCCGGCAATGGGAACTAAAAGCAATAAACACTGCAGGAAAAGAAGCATAGCTATGTCCCGTTCTGATTTCCCGAGTAACACTGTGGTATTTAACAGTTTCTGTATCTCCGATCGAGTGTTGTTTGTTGTGTGCTGTTTTGTTGGCTATGATAAACTCTCCCGCGACTATGAGGCAGCAAAGGTTAAATAGATCTCGATTTCTGTCCCAATGACTGAATAGTATGAGAGCTTCCCTAGTAATCGGAAGGTCCTGCGCTCAAACCTCAGTGTGCTAGTACTGGGGATGTGCCCCGAACCGGAGATAAGCAGCTTTTCGGTAATCCCTGGTTTGAATCTCGCCAGTTTACTGGTTTGACAGTTTTCTACCCAGTTCCGTTCCTAGCAAAAGAGGGCCTAGTGACTCCACCTCGGAAAATATACTGAAGTGCAACAGAAAATTAGAAGCGCAAGAGAAATACGAGAAACGAACTAATGTTCACCGGAATCGGAGAGACGAAGTGACGCGGACCGATGAAAGCCTTCGGGAAGCCAGTCCTCCTATGTGTCTTCCTTCGACGAAAATGAACAAGGATGCAGAATCGGAATTTTTGTATAATGTTCGAAGCCGGGAAGGCTGAACTGGTAGCCGAAGAAATGAGAGGACATGGAAGTTCGAGGAATCTGTGAGAGCAGGTGGAATAAATGAGGAGTGTAGAAATTGTCAACTGGAGAACCAGTGATCTGATGCGACCATCTAGATGATATTCACAAGCACTGTTAGACAGTGTCTGTCATCATCTCGTCGACGACTCCATAGGTTCTTATGCAACGTGGACCAATCTTCTCCCGGATTATGACAATAAAATTCAACTTCAGAGGAATGAAGGTTACCATTACGTAGTGCAACGCGTCCAAAAGCAATTCAGAACAAGGTAAGCAGGAAGATTTTAATAAGCAATTGCAAGCATTAGTGGACAAAACCCCAATTGGTAACACCAAAATCCGAATGAGTAGTACGAGTGCCGAATTGGGAGTCGATAATATGGGGACAGTACTCATCATGGGTCGAGAGTTTCTCGGAGAAATGAATGAAAACGACAAACTTTTCACCAAATACTAAGCTTTCAATGACTTGGTGATCGGAGGCAGCGTGTAGAAGCACAAGGATATATACCAAACAACATAAATTTCGCCTGACTGACATATCAAAATTTCAAGAGTTGCAAATGCATTATTACTTTCCGGTTTGTCATGAGATAGTCAAAAGTCGTAAACTAGCTGTCAGCCAAGTCTCATAAACCGTTAATGCCCAGCTCTCGCTACGCTCGGGCCCACGCTGTTCCTTTGAGTTTTCAGAAACGCTTAGTTATAACGGACGCAAAAACCAAAACACCGATCTGCCGTTTGATATTTCTGTATTGTTACACCAACATATAAAAGGAATAAGCGAACTAAGCAAACTAAGGTCTGTAAACAAATATTACAATAATAAATCGTTGTTACTTCTGACGATGTTTCACTCTTCTTTCTGAACAGCGACCGATGAGACGATGACTGTCGTATTGATGCCTCCGCGAAAATCGAGGAAGTTGATTTTGAGCAAACAACCAAGAATTGATCGTTCAATCTTCAACTCCATTGACACTCCCCGGCAAAAAAGGGATCCAACCCTTTTTTCCTTCACGACCAATGCACGTTGACTTGGATGCCATTGCGAGAACCTGGGTCACACGGACAGAGCTGAAATGGAAAACAAACAGAAAAGCCAACACACCACAAGCATACCCACAGCACAATCTCACACATCAATGACGACCTGCGCCTCCAGACAGAGACCTCCTCTTGACATCTTGCAACACAATCGCCACTTGCTAGAATGACTCTTGCAGAATGCAAAGTGACCATGGCAGCACCTCACGATACTCTACGCACATCCTCTTATCTACTCATTACCAATTACCACTGAAATCGCTTGTCACTCATTCTGCCTCAGTTCTAGTAGCGGTGACGCATGCGAGCCTCAGTCGTTTACACTCTTTCTCCCCGGCGTGTCGGACCGCAGCTAACAATTATCTCCGTGTGCATTTCATTCTCAGCAATAGCCTCCCCGGCGTATACGACCCATCTGCTGTCCTTAACATCAATCAATTCATTCATGGATGTAGAAGACTCGAAACAACTTCAGAAATAATCACGACGAAAATTTTAACAAAATTACGCAATAACAACAAGATACGAAAACAACAAGTAAACACAATGAATCCAAAAACACCAATTGATATGACACACCACACGTATACACAAACAGTACAAATAACCTCGCCGATCATGTCTTGGTGGAATTCCTTTGAAGAATTGCAGGACTTACACCAGTACGCCTACAACCCTTCACAGGTTGACGATTGTAAGTTGTGGAATGTCCGGACACAAACAAGATTAACCAACAATTACATCAATTGGAACTCACACAACTATTTAACACAAACATATGTACAATCAACACATCAAATGTTGTGGATTCTGACACGACAAACTACCCTTGAAGAACTGTAGGACTTACAGCAGTACGCCTACATTCCTTCTCAGGTTGATGATCCAAGTGGAAGTCGTCCGGACACAAACAGAATTACCAACAGCTAGATGACAGATGATATCAATTCAGTATATACAATATGAACATATGTACAAAATCACACACCAAGCACATTGGACTGCTCATTGATGCGCTACCCTTTGAAGAACTGTAGGACTTACACCAGTACGCCTACAACCCTTCTCAGGTTGACGCCCTAGGTTGGAAAATCGTCGCAGAGTTCATTTGCTAACTTCCTTCTATGAGCTATATCCTCAAATCTGAACGGCAACACGCCCATGTCATTGTATCGTAGAATATAGATGACCAACAAACACACGACATATCTCATCAACCAAGTGTAGAAACAGAGTAATTTACACCAAAGATAATAACATTCAAATAGTAACTTGAAACT